TGTGCTCGTTTGGACAGTTGAAGGCGTTCAACCTAGTTGTTGACTCGAACGGTGTTTCAAAGGGTTTTGCGTTTGCTGAGTATTTGGACACAACTCTCACTGATCAGGTAATTTAAGTTAGTCTCTAGTGAACTGTCTTGATCAAATGTTTTCAGGCTATCGCTGGATTAAACGGAATGCAACTTGGAGACAAACAGCTTGTTGTACAATTAGCATGTGCTAATGCGCGTAACTCTCAGCCTATGCCACACTCTGCTACTTCGATCGCTGGTTTGTTAATGAATACTGGTTTTGTTTATTAGCTTAGTTGTCTTTTGCGTTATAGGCATTGATCTTTCGCAAGGAGCTGGTATGCCAACAGAGGTGTTATGTCTGATGAATATGGTGGTTGAAGAAGAGCTGAAGGATGATGAGGAATACGAAGGTATGATTGACACCATCCTGTTTCGTTATACTGTCCTAGAACAGTACAATTTTTTCAAAATCTGCATTGTCTCGCTATTTTTAGATATCCTGGAGGATATTCGTGAAGAATGCTCTAAGTATGGTATCGTACGATCCCTCGAAGTCCCTAGACCTATAGCTGGTGTTGAAGTATCTGGAATTGGGAAGGTACCGTTATTCTCTTTAAGTGTGTGAAAAGCACCGTAGCAAATTTGTTCAATTCAGGTCTTTGTCGAATTTGCTACATGCGCGGATTGCCAGAAGGCCCAGGCAGCGCTTACTGGTCGGAAGTTCGCTAATCGAACTGTTGTGACATCCTATTACGACGTAGACAGATACCATCAAAGACAATTTTGATTTTACCCTTATGCGCCCTCATTCTAATTTTGAGCCGCATTAAGCTTTTGCATTGTGTAACTTTGTCAATGTCTGTGTAACATACTCTTCTTTATTTACTGTGTTCTGTAATATGCTGAGGCTGTCATAGGGCACACTGATCTTCTGAATTTACTGTGAATTTTCTTTGTGGTGTTCTGTTGTCCTGCTCTCGCTTGTC